CGCGACCCACAGACACCCAAAACACCCCACACAGCCCGGCCGATCCCTGCCCTCGCTGCCTTTTTGATCGAACAGCCCGCGCCGTGCGGATGATTTCAGTGCGGAACGCTCTGCCCATGCAAACGAGCGCAATTAAAGCCTTTGAAACAATTTATGATTTCCGGCCTACTTCAACGTGTATTAGCATATACCTGGTTTCTTTAATATACACTTTGTTTTTCCAAAACCACAAACATAGTTGCTGGAATTTCATGTGGAAGTGCTTAAGGGGTTGAAAGTTAACACCTTTGTGAGCCGAGCAGTCTCACAGTTGCTGCTAAACAAAAGCCTCTTTGTAGAAGCTTTCTCGAAATGTTTTCTTAACATGTTCCAAGTAGTTTTAGGCAGGCAACTAAAGTAAACAAGATGTTACCATGATAAAAACACTTGTGAAAACATTACAGAGTGCACTTAGTAGTTTCTTTCACATAAACTCCCCTTCGTTTCATCAAAGTTAAATGCACATGAAGCAGATTACCAGCATCACYGCAACATAGGACTGCCAGATCTCTCCAGCGTTCTGTGTCCTTTCTTTTAAAGAATATATTTGATTTTAAAATGGTACAGCCAGGATTAAGCACGTCTAACCTACAACCAAATCATAGGGGAAAAAAGGGAGGGGGGGGATAATAAAACCCTATTCAGTCTTCTTCATTTTTTGCCCYGGATACCTGGATACCCTGCTGAATAAACCACCCTCCCTTCAGCCGGGATTTCCTGAACAACTTGCTGTAGAARGGGTATATATTTCTACCTCCAACGGTCTTTAAACACATGCAAATGAAATCAAGGATATAGTCAATTTTGCAGGAAAGTCGCTCTGTGCTACTAATTGCTCCTTTSGCTGCTGCCTGCCCTGGTTAACAGGCCAGACACGTGTGAACCCTCCAGCCCTCACCTTGCTCCCTGCAGCTCGGCAAAGGCCACAGGGTCACCGCCCCGAGACTGGACTTGTTTTTGTTTTTGGGCTCAGGGAGTGTTCTGGAGCATGCAGGGTGCTGCTGTTTCATTAGGCAGAGCAGCAGCCCCTGCTGATATCGGTTAGCTCGAACTGATAGCGCATCACATGATAACCAATGGCTGATGGATTAAAAAAAGGAAACACAACACAACGATGCTAAAACTGCAACTTGTTTCAAAAAGAAATGGGGAAATAAATGCATACAATAGCCCGTGTATCTGCTGGTTCTGATAAGCATCCTCCTGTTGGCTGTGAGTGAAAGACAACTAGGATCGTTATTTGTACAGTATTTATCTTTGAAATCAAGGGCCCTGTGGTKTACCTCACCTTGGGAACAAACACTACAGAACGATCACAGAAGAGTGTCAAATCTCTGGTTTTGATTTACCAACAGTTATGATATTTCTTCCTCAGGAGGAAAAGAAATGAACCATGTTTTAGACCTGCGAGTCCTTTTTTCTCCCTTAACTGAAGAATCATTTTATTGGCATACAGGGCTTTCATTCCACCKACAAGTTCTCTTTGCCTTTTCACAAGGTAAGTGAAAATTAAGCAACACTCGATACACAAGCTGTATTTCACTTGGTAAACAAGTGCTTTTCTCTTGAGGGGACCGGCTAAAGTGTCACAGATTATACAAGTATCAGAAAGAAACTTCAAGCATCTACCTGTTATCTTTTCATTGARTAATGAATTCTGATAAATGGCAACGTAATTTAAGGACGGATGCTCCACAGGAGACATGGAAGGCTACGCTCAGYTCTTAACAGTGTCAATACACTGCTCACGGACATCCATTTGTGCATTTGTTCGGGGTTAAATATCACTCTGAACAGTAAGACTTTGGACACTGCAGCAYTTGGAAAATGAGAAAATTTACACGAGCTGATGAGTTTAAGAAACTCACACAAAATTATTTCTATTGAAAGGTTTCAACAGAGAAAAAAAAAAACCACCCAGACTGATAGTGAGTGATGGAAAAAACCTGGAACTGATGGAGCAGCCTGAGGTCCAGCCTGGGCTGGTAGAGTTCTTAGGATATTCTGAAGAATTGACTACTCCACATTATCTCCTCCASCTGAACTGGTGGATTGGGTCTATTTACTGAAACACCTCCAAAATACCGTATCAGATCCAGCCTTGCCTCTACCCACGGCTGTGACTACAGGGCTGTGTTTTCTATGCACGGCCACCTCGAGCAGACCACTCCTCCCACGGAATCTCCTGGAAGCAGCTGCTCTAACCTGGAAAACGGGACTAGAACAGGAAGCAAATGTGGCACACCCTGACTGTATGTGACCACACGGGTTATTCTGCTGTCTAAGGCTACCACAGCACCTTCCCCTTGCACTCACTGCASCAGAGAATTGTTTTAAAGGTCTAAATGCTATAGGATGGCATATGAATATGAATGAGCTGGCAAGTATGGCGAGATTAGCATTTATTTCACTTAAGTGAACAACAGGATGAATTACAAGAAATGAGGCCACCCTTCATGGAAATTTATGACTAGCACCTTCTTATTCTGTAATCCYCTTGTAATGAGAACCTTCTCATTGCTGTACCATTCCTCACTTGTAACATACACTTATAGTAGGACCAGTGCCGATCCTACAACTCGGGAGGGTTTTGCCAGTGGAACCACAACTGGTCCATTCTGTTCTGTGAGCAAAACCCTATCTGTATTATCTACCATCACCCAACACACATCCTCTGCTTGCTGTTGCCCTTCCCTCCCTCACATAAAAAGCCAGGGAACCGCCCCAGAAAGAGCAGGTACGRCTGAACCTTTTGAGACTAAGTCTGCATATTCATTCCAAAGAATCTCACGTATTTATGTGGACTAATTTCATGAGATTACTACTCTAAATGGGAGAAGAATTTGTCCCTTTGTGCATTTAAATCATGAACACTGCTCGGTTTGTTGGTCTTCAGTGATCTTACAGCTGACCAGCCACAGAACTTRAGCAAAGATCAGGGACAAACCTTCAATAACCTGGATGCACCCACAGCATGTGTGTACCTGGTGTCCTACCCAGACAAAGAACTCTTTTGTGATGGGAACAGGGGTGAGGCTGATGGTTTAGCTCTGGAGCAGCCATGTGTAAGCTATTAGGGCTTTGAGGTCCTTCCCTGCATCGGGATGCACGCACTACCACACACYAGTCCATAATGCACTGTTTATGCAACGTGTGAAACTGTGTTCTTTGGCAGCAAGGAAAAGGTCTGCAGCAAACTGCAGGGGCCCAATTAATATAATTATAGTTTATTTTTAGTAGTGTAGACTTTGTTCATTAGTTACTTATTTGACATAAATTAAATTTCACGTGATGTTCTGCAATTCTCTGTTCAATTATGGAGTTAATTTAAGACTAGATTTCTAAATTAAAGTGAAATCAAGGTTAAAACAAGGTTTTATTATTTACATGATCGATACTGCAACTTAAAAATTATTCAAATAAAATGGGAAAAAAAAAGCTGCGGAACTGCAAACACTATTTTATAGCAATACACTGAGCAAGACCATAATTTCCCCATGGGGCTAATTTACTATCCCCTGTTAAAACGTTCTTGAGCCTGATCCAAAAGCCACTGAAGTGAAAGGGAGCTCTCTGTTGACTTCAATGGGCTTTGCATCAGGCCCAGGGTGAGTGACAGCACACAAGAATTTCAGGGCATGCTTTCTGTACAATGCAAGTGCCAAAAAAACCATCCTTACTTTAGGAACGACTGGAAGTCTTCACACACAGCTTCACAGCCCGGCCATTTGCATACGCCGTGTCCGTACAGCGGGTGGCTGTGCGAGTGCTCCTCGTGGGATAAACTGGAGGGGAGAAGGAGAACAGAGAGAAAAAGTGATGTAAACCGAAACGACCGTGACAATTCATCCTCACAAAGACTCTGAAAGAGCAGCAAACACCTGATCCTGAACCATCCCCRACATCTCAAGGTACCCGCCTGACTCTTGCCCGTGGTTTTTCAAAACAGAATTAAATAGCATTTGCAGTGCGGAACATGTGTCATTCTTACTTAGCTATCCTCCTACATTTCATTCATTAATTAAGAGGTTTGTAAAGAATTTAAATTAACATGGAYGGGGGAGAAATCATTTGACAGACCTGCTTAATATCCCGCTTGATATTTTGCTAAGAAATTTATGAACAYTGCATATTTACAATTCAACTTCTTCGAGCAGTCATCTCCATACAGCAGTGTCCCATTATACCATAATACAGCTGGACCTGAGGCTTTCCTCATGGCTAGAGAAAGGAAAAGCTTCAGATTTGCAGGCYTGGCTTCCCACCATGTTATTTATTTACTGGGTTGGTGTTTTTTCTGGGATTTTTTTTCTCTTAACAGGCTGTAACATTGCAAAAATGCAACCCCCTTATATCCAAGAAAGAAGATCCAAGATGTATTTTCAAATGCAAAATTCACCATAAAGAAGAGGGGCCATGCAATCAAAGGATTCCTCAGTACGGGAGGTTAGTGGGGGCTATTAACCTTGCTAAGATTGGGCAGGAACGTCACAGAGCCTCCCAACTACTGAACCCAGGGTTAAAGAAAAAAATTCATATGAGCACTAAGGGGTTAATCCTTCAGCGGGATTCCAATCAATACRTAATGATTTGGCTGCACTGATCCAAGTCATGAGACGCTTTGATCCAGGCCATGTGGTGCCCAGGGAAATGTATCTGTTGCACTAACTGATGAACCATATTCTAAAATATCTTCTTTATTCAACTTCTGCATGGAAACTTCTTAAGGAAAGGAATTATTTCTTGCAACAATCTCCATAACCTTAGATGACTTTAAAAGCAAAATGTCAAAATAATATTGAAATCTCTATTTTATGCTCACACACGTACCTATTTTTTCACAGCAAATCTTTTTGCTACGGTATGTCTGTGCTGTATTAYGGACTTCAAACATACACAAAGGATATGAATACATACCAGCATCTAGGTGTGGCTTTTATGACTTACTTCATCCYGGATTACAGGTAACAGTAGGGATAAATCCCTACTTTTTGTCATTTTACTACTACACACATGTGGAAATGCTGTTTATTCTTCTGTAATATTATCTGCCTGTGCACTCTGACAAAATTGTGCTCCTGTACTRTTGCAGATGCACTGGGGAGCCAGATCATTGTGGAATTCACTCCTGAGATGTCACCCAAATGCAAACAAATTGGAAGAAAAGTTCCTGCCCAGACTCTGCCACTTTTGACTTCAGGCCCAGTGAGAGTAWGAAGATTATTGAAGATAGTTTTTAAAATAACTTTCCATTTAAAAAAAATAAATTAAAAAGTATGGACTAGCCTTTACATGAACCTAATTCATTATTTCATTAGTATCATTTTTTGCTGTTTACAAACAGCTTTTCAAGCATAAATTTATGTACATGCAAGGTAATTTCCTAAAAAAGCAACAGTAGGTGAAGAGCCTTACAAAGGCCTTTTCTATTTAGGAGTATTAGACTGGTTYAACTTAATCAGTCTTTTAGAAAATGTTCAAGTGAGAAGAATTTCTGTGAAGTTTTTAAAAGAATAAAGGAACTCAAGCATTCTTAGCAAGGAAATTWAAAAAATGCTACACCACACATTTCCTCATCTAAAAAAGAGGGAGAACGGCTGAAGGAACACCATCCACCCAAGCCAAACAGGTATATGGTCAAACATCCTCTGTGCACATCATAAAATTTAGAAAATGGGGTTTATCAACTGTTTCCGTACCKGGATACAGCAAAGGGTGAGAAAGGAGGCTTCCATGTTAGCACTCCATTAAAGTCCATGAAGACTACATATGATAGTGATGATTTCAGAGTGTTTGGAAGAACCCAAAAAAAAAAGCAGTATATGACTCTACCCCTACTTAATGCGACGTGTGATGCCAAGTAAGGAGTCACTCCCCCGTGGGGTTTAAGCACTGTAAATCTCATTATAATATCAACAGGAGTCACATGGCTTAAACCCCCAGCAGGGATTTTTAAAGTTTCTCTGTGAGAGCCTAAAGGCCATGGCCAAGCCAACGGAAAGAGCCCTACCGAGATTTGTATTTATTTTTTAAATCCGAGTGCAAATCTCTTTTCTTTCCAGGGAACTTGCACAAGACAAGACAAACTATGCAGGACATGACACCCTGGTACTGTGTCCAAAGAAAATGACGGAATGACCAAGAYAGTATCAAAGTCTAAACGATGCTCAGGATGCTAAAGGCTCGTGCTGTCAATAACCATAAAGGCTGGTGCTGACTGTAAACGGGAGCTCTCAAAAGGTCACTTTGCTAACACGACGCTACGCGTAACACGCTTAACACCTACACAGAGCTTCCACTGCCATTCAACCAGGCAGAGGAACTACTTCAACTTACCAAAAATAAGATGTTTCAAAGAGAAAAAAAACCCTCGGTACTGAAAGGCAAACGCCGGCCCCCTCCGCAGGCACCGCGCCGCTCCGAAGGCAGCRACTCCCATCCTGCTCGGGGGGGTTTCAGCAGCGCCTTTCGGTGACCTTTATGTGTCAGTATCAGATTACTGCTATTTTATCCATCCCACTTTTGAAGATATTATAGATCGMCACTTGTTCCCTGATAGAGCCTGAAGAAGCACCTCAAAACAAAACAAAGARCGGGTTTGTACAGAAGCGGATGTAACGCACAAAGGACACAGCCAGTGGAAATGAATGGAGAACTCTGTTGAACTGATCTAAGTCTTCACTTTGTTTGAGCAAATAGAGGTGGAAAAAGAAGATTTTAATCCAGTACATAAATAAACAGCGTCGTGAGCACAACGCAAGCCTATGATCTGAAATTGTTCACTGATATTTCGCCTGCATGCAAGCACAGCTTCTGTAATCTGGATGCATCCCTGGTCTCGCTGCCGGAGACAGACTTTCAGAAGATCTGAGCATTGGCAAGCAGAAGCAAGTTTTAGGTCTGTTTGATTTCTAATGACACATTAGAGTAGGTGTTTGTTTCTGTCACCCTCTCCTTCCCAGGAATGCATATTCATGGTCGGGTACTGGTGATGCAACGCTAGTTAGTGGAAATGATTTTGTAACAAGACAATTTTCAATGTAGTGAAGGAACAAATGATGCAAATTCAAGATGATGTGTTTTTTTTTCTCTCTTCAGAAGGTATTTGCATAAAAAATAGTTAATACAACAAAATTACTTCCAAATAATGCAAYAGTGATGCATTATTACATCAAAGCACAGCAAAGAACACTCTGGCAAGTGAAATGTCTTGCATAAGTCACTTACACATGACGTACAACAGAGCAACAAAATCCATGTGCAAGGCTGAAAACTGTGATAGTGTCCACTGATTTTCTGCTGCCTCCAACTCTGCTTCCAGCACCGAGGGGAGGGGAGAAGGGACAGCACTTCCACAGCCTCTCTGGTCTGGATAGATGGGGGGGAATTTTACCTTCTTCTTCACCCTATGTTGCTTCATAACCCCAAGGATCTCCAGAGGGTCTGGAAGCAATTTCACCACCCATTCCTACCGGGTACTTGCACAGCCCAATCCTGCCAGCCATTTATCTTTTGGAACAGACCTGCTGCAGCATCCTGGAAGAACCACGCTCTGCAGCACCAAAGGACAGGAGACAGAGATGCCAGAGATATCGTAGTGCTGATGGGAGTAAAAGTGACACCCCAAAGTAAGATGGGAACATGTGGGGTATTGGGGGAAGCAGTGACTAAAGCCACAGCATGAAAGGACCCCATGCTCTTTAAACAGTTTAATTCAGCTCAAAAACCACGTGGAACTGGGTACTGTGCTTGTACACACCGGCTGTGAAGTCACGGGTGGATATAAAATCCAGCTAAACAGCAGCCTCAGTACCTGCACTTCTGCCACACAGTGGACCATATTTTAAATATTCATGATGCTGGCATACTTCATAATTCCACTCTCTCTCTTCCACATCTGCTTGGGCCAATGAWCTCTGCCAAAACACTGGGGGAAGTCAGCGATATAGAAAAGCATCCTTGACTTTCTATTACAGTTATGAAGCATCTGCTCACGTTCTAACAGAGCTCAGAACATGCCTGAGCCACCTGCACGCTGAAAAATCAGTATCACATCTCCTCCTTTCCTCCCGTATGGAGGTGGAGCACAGCACCCTCACAAAGTGCAGAACTGCCTTTTTAATTTTATTTTATTTCTCAGGGTCAATGGGAAGTGACCTCATCTTTGCCAGCTGCCATGAAACTGATATGTATGTACAGTCCAGACAGGAACGTGGGGCTCTGTCTCACACCACATTCCCCCTCTCTRTGATGTGGATGGCACAGCCACTGAGGCAAAATGCCACAATTTTGGCTCTGTACAGGGGAAGGAGACACACAACKGGGATCCAACATGACTCTCCTAGATTTGTGACTGCCCAGTGAGCTCTAAAGCTCATCAAAAGGCACTAAAAGGATAAGGCTACTGAAAAGTCACAGTTTTCTGAGTCAGAAACACTCACTGTATTTGATTTTAAAAAGAAATGGAAGCAGTAATGATTAAATCCTTRTACTACCTGTACTCAAGTGCAAGTCCCTGCTTTCATGACAGATTCAACCAAACAAAGATGTGTTTTGCAGTGAAGCTCCACTGGTGCAAATCCCTACAAATTCTTACTACAGTGTCTCAGCACCTCTTTCCTCTCTAAACTGTGAATTACAACAAACAACTTCTAGATACTCCTRCTGCTCTCCAAGCCTCAGGAACTGCCTAAGAAGCAGGTGTGTGATCTGTCCAGAGAGGGTGATGCCTGAAAGTCATGGGCCCTCGGGAGAGGTGGCATTTCATGTGAGTGGTCAGGGACAG